CTAACCCTAACCCTAACCCTAACCCTAACCCTAACCCTAACCCTAACCCTAACCCTAACCCTAACCCTAACCCTAACCCTAACCCTAACCCTAAATCCAAAAAAAAGAACAAAAAAAAATACAAAAAAAAATACAAAAATGCTTTACAACTCACATTTAAATTTGCATAAAATTTATATTAAAATTTTTAAAAAATACCCATTTTTAACACAACCAATAATTCAATTTTATTAAAATTTATATTATTGAATTAATCTTGATAATGATATTCTAATAATAGTAAAATCAAATTTTAACTTTAATATTAACAGAATTATATCATAAAATATATTTTTACTTCAATATTTAAATTTTACTTATAAGTTTTATTAATAGTATTATTTGGAATCCTATTTTTATTTAACATAATAAATTTAATAATTAAAATTTATTATAGGATATAAAATACAATACTTTTTCAAGAAGTTGATCAAAATAATTGAATTATAAATGAATTGCATCTTATATTGCAAATTTCTAATGTACTTTTTCAATATCTATTTTATAAACTTACCAAAAAAAAAGATTTGCAAATGATACACAAACATTGATAATTGCAGAAATAAAAAGATTGCGTATTCAGTTTAAATTTTACCCTTCTACTATGAAAAATGAAAAATAAGAATAGACATTTTTTATGAGTCCTGATAAGGAAAAGATATTGAAAGATTTTCAGATAAAACAACTTTTTGATGGATGACAAGCTACAAAAGGACAAGATATTGAGCACCTTTGGTATGAATTTTATCATCTTTATAAAATAATGCATCAAAAATCTATAACAGATGAGGAAATTGACTAATTTGAAGTTGATGCAAAGCAATGGATTTGTAATTTTTGTCATCCTACTATTGGTAATCTAAATGATGCAAATCAACAAAAAGGCATGTATTTGCTCAGCATGTACGTCAATTTATGCGATATTTAAAACAAAAGAAATGATATTACGGCATTTTTTAACATCAAGTATAGAAAAAAAACCATCAACAGGTAAGCATTTTAAACCAATTTTTACTAATTTCGCAACTTCAGTTATAATATTAATTATTATACTCTTACTTAAGTACGATTATTTTTTGAAAGGACAACAATGGGTGGAGGAAAATCAAAAAAATCCATAATTCATGATATTCTCTATTATGAAAGCTGGCAATTATTCTATCTTATACATAATACTCCAATTAAATATACACAAAAAATAGTGGAAATTAAAGCCTAATAGCTTTAAAGATAAAAATCATGTATTGTTAATACTGATGAATTTATAAAATGATGCGAAATAATGAATAATGTAAATAAAAAAATAATCTTGTATTATTTGTACAATTTTAATTAACTTTTATTTCAAATTTCTAAAATTCTCTATTTTTTTACATTTCTAAATTTTCTAACTTATTATATACATAAATAAAGATTATCAATTACCTTCTACAAAATCTCTTACATCAATATTAAATTTAAAGCGCATTAAACTACAACGTAACTGCATATTAGAATCTTTATACACACGTTCTTTCTAACAAAAAGCAACATCATAGGTTTATTGTACATTCTGTATCAAAATATATGTACATGTACCATCCGTCACTTTTTGCTACTCCAGTTTTTATTATCAAAAAGAATATCCAATTGTTCATATTTTTGACCACCTTTGAACTTACAAGTATATATTCTTTTTGCTGGTGAATATTGAAAAGTTAGTTCATTATTATAGTTGTTTCCGAAATTCAATTGGCAAATCCAAAATCTGAAATTACGAAATCGTAATTAATTACATAATTACATGTTACGAAATTAATTACGTATTCCAAAATTCTGAAATTTGCATAATAGTGCGAAATTGCGCATATCTCAGGATCTAGTAATCAGATTTCGATGATCTTACCACCATTCGATTCGTCATGACGAGACGATTCTAATGGCAGTAAGATCATCTTTCTAGCATTGAAATTGACGGAGCTATTATGCTATAAATATTTAAAAGTTATTGGTATCGGAGCGCGATCTAGTGATTGGATTTAAATGATTTTACTACCATTAGAATCGCCTTATCGAGACGAATCAAATGGTAGTAAGATCATCCAAAACAGATCACTGAGTGCCAAGTTATTATTTATTAAAGTTTGTATATATAAATCGGCAAAAATTAAGGCTACTTCTGGCCAAATATTTTCGTAATATGAAATTAATTATAGAGTCCAAAATTAATTACAGAATATGGAGTTTTTCTAATGAATTACTTAATAATTACAGAATTACGTAATTATGTATTTCCGTAATACTAAAATAATTTTGGACACAAGTATATTTATTATAGAATAAAACAATGAAAAGTTCTTCAGAAAAAGGCTCCATTTTTAAAGTTTTTGCTCGAGGTTCACTTTTATGAAATTGTAAGCGTGCCTTTAACTGCATTACAAATGATTGTTTAAAGTGGTGAATATCATATAAAGATAGAGAAGTTAAGCATCATAAGTGAGGTATTATTTTATTATTTGGATAAAAGGTTCTTTCATGAATAGAAGGTGAGTTTTTAGATGAAAAAATTTTAGGAATATTGGCAGAATAAAGAAAATAAGTAATATAGATGGCATTATAAAATGAAACGCGTATGAACTTTAAAGCAAAAAAATTTATACACATGTTTTTTTTTACATTCTAGATTTTATCAAAATGTAATTACTTTTAAATTACTACTTAAATTACTTAATATAATTGTTTTAAAAACCAATCAAATCCATAGGGCGTGATTGCATATTATTTATTATAGGGTGATACTGTTAAGTTAAATCTGCCCATATGCGTTATAGAAAGTTGTAGAAAAGTTGTAAAAGTATTACATATACAGCGGTTAGCAGTAAGCTGTAGAAAGTTGTAGAAGTATTACACGTACAGCGATCAGTATATCAAAAGCACGTTGTAGAAAGTTGTAGAAATATTACATAAAGGCACGTAATCGTGAATATAAGTTAGACAGTTTATCTGATATACAGGTGGATATTTTTCTCTTTTTTTACTCTTATCCTCACCTACCGCACTTTAAGCCAATAACATTTTGCAAAAATTACTATAAAAGCCATTATGTCTATTACATTATTCTGCCTTATCAAAGGAAACACATTTAAAGACGCTTTTTCTGTTACAATAAGTAGTAACGAATCTGTTAGCGAGCTCAAGAATGTTATTAAGAAAAAAAAACAAAATGAATTTGCTGGTGTAGATGCAAATAAGCTCAGTTTGTGGAAAGTGGAAATTGGTGGCGATCAGACTGATCAATTGAAGAATCTCGAACTTGATGACAGTGATAAGTTGTCAGCATTAAATTATATAAAAGAATACTGGCCTACTTCGCCTCTTGAAAGACATATTCATGTTATCATAAAATTACGTAAGTGTCTGGTACAGTCTGTAATTATTTGCCATTTTCCCTCATAATATTAACACTTTTTTGTTTCCAGTTCTCAGTCTGGAAGAAGCATTGGCATATATTCCACCACCTCTTACATTTTGTCCAAATTTTGTTAAGAGGAATAGTAGTACAAATCCAGATATTCCAGGTGATCATAAACTAGTAGAGCTTCTTCCTTGGAAAGGCTTTTTTGAGAAAGTGAATAATTTTAAATTTGGAGACGAATCAAAATATAATAGGCCAATATTTATCAATTATTCACAGATGTATAATGAAATGAGCATTCAAACCGCTTTTGAAACAAATATTTGTGAAGTATTAAATAAGCTTTTGAGAAATTATGATTTTTCAAGAGAATCAACCAAAAACCCTGGTGATCCAGATTTTATTTGCCGCTTTGCTATGCTTGAACCACTCATGCCAATTGAGGTTAAAAGGAAACATATTTTAGAATATATTGGGTCATTTATAGAATTTTATAAACACAATAAAAAGGCACAAAGCGTAATTAAACAAATTTATAGTTATATGGTGGTAAATCAAGTTAAGTTCGGTATACTATCAACTTATGACAATCACTGGTTTTTACGCCAGCTAGGTGATAATGAAGAAAACAGAGCCAGACTTTGGATATCAGAAGCTCTTCCGTTAGAGTCACATTCGCCACCTGTTCTTAAGGCATATGCATATGTTACTAAAAAATTGTGCATGGATATGGATGCCCATTCTTCTCATACTAATATAATTACAGTACCAGCTTATGAAAATAATGGTAAACGCATAACAAGAAATATAAGGAAATCAGCTCAAAAAAAGGAGTCATCTGATTCATCTTCTATTCAGAATTTTTACTTTACAGATTTCAAATTTAAGGATTTGTTAAGCCAAGGACGAAGTGGAAAGACACTTCTATGTGAATTTCGCAACAATACAATTGCCTTAAAATGTGCCGATCTGTGGAAATCCCCATCATATATCTTGAAAGAAATGCAGAACGAGGTCAAGATATATCAACAACTTAGTGACCTTCAAGGGATATATATTCCAAACTTAGAGTGTTATGGCTACTTTGAAAATGGTATGTGTTATGTTATCGGTACAACTCTTGTTGGTAAACCTTTAAGTTTTTATAAATATATTACAAAAGGGCAAAAGGTTAAGGGTATGCTTGCGCTAAATGCAATTCATGATAGAGGTGTTCTTCACAATGATATTCGTGCAGATAATATATTGCTCGATAATCGTAATAATGACGTTTACTTAATTGATTTTGGGATGTCAAATACTGATTATGATATTATGGAAGATGGCGTATTTAATGAAGAGAAATTTAAATTGGATTGCTTGCTTACTCATTATACTTTGTAGTAATTGATTATTTAGATAGGATCCCAAATAATAATAATATAGGTAGGAGTTGAAAATACGTTGTCATCTTAGTAATTATCAATATGTTAGAATTTGGAAATGCGTACAATCATCAAAAAATTTTAATAAGGTTAAAATTTGATATTGCGTAATTTTGATTTGATTTTAGAATGGTAAAATATTGAATTTGCTTATTTTTGGTACATTTTTGGAAATAAGTTTCCTTTTTTTGTAATAATTTAATTTTATTTAACGGTCAACTTAAAATTTTTTTTTTTTCAAAAAAATCTTTTCTGTATTGCATATATAAAGTTTTATTGGCTAAACAAATGCAAAAAAAGTAGTATGTATATGTGAAAAAGAAATCAAATTAAACTGCAGATATAAAAAGGATTATTTAAATAGTCATGTAGCATGTTCAGAATGTAAAGCAGATGCAGACAGAGAACAATTTGATACAACTAATAAAAGAGCAATTAAAATTTTAAAAACTGACTTGAAGTTAAAGGATTAGAAAACATATTTTGTAAAAATTTCAGGGGTTAGAAGCTACAAATATGTACTGATCATAGTCAATAGTACTGCGTACAGCTAGTAATAGTAAATTTTTTTTCAGGGTCCTATTTAGATAGCATAGTAACTGTTTTTACAATAGTATTGAATATTAAGTAATTTATATAATAATGTATTTTATAATATCGGTGTTTCCAAAACAGTTGGTTTATATCTATACATGACATGTTTAAATATTAAAAACATCGTACACTATACTATGTATAGATTACATATTTTATTATACGTGTATAAATTATCACACTTAATCGTAATTTTTTTAAAATCAGAATTTGCAAAAATAAACCTTTTATTATTAATAAATTTTAATATTCAATATACTAATTACATATTAAGTTCTTTACGTAAATTAAGATTTCTAACTCTAATTTTTCAATTTCTGCTTAGGCTTTACGATCTATTGTTTGCCTTTCAGCTAATTTCATTTTGCGTTCTTCAATTTCTAGCTTTATAATTTCTTGCTCTTCATTACTGCTATCAATATCAATTTTAGTTTTATTTGTTTTTTTTTGCTTTTGAATTATTTTCACTTGTAGTTTCCTGTTCATCATTACTGTCGTCTATGTCAATTTTAATTTTTGATTTCAAATTATTCATATGAGCGAATATGATAATATCATCTGATGTGATATTAAAAAAAATGTACTATTTGCATGTGATTACCTCATAATAAATACCGTCAAAATAAATCCCCATTATTAATAACATCTCCTCTTATTTTGTCAAGTCTCTTTCCAAAGTTAATCATATTCCAATCCTATTCTTAATCATAATCATGTATTTTTCAGAAAGATTTTCTGAATTTTTCAGAAAACTATATGATTTTTTGTTGGTTGATTTTCCCAGTGAGAATAGTGGCTTAAAGGTGACTAATAGTTTATATAAATACCATCAATAATAACACTAACAACTTTGCAGTTCTATTGTAGATTTTGAAAGGATTTCTTACTTTTCTTAGGTAGATTCATAATGGTACTCTTTTCTTTAACGAAAATTAATATACTTTATTTTACTATTTTTTTTAGAAAAAGGTTTACTGTGAATGTCTGAGAGTTTCTTCTGTTAAAATTGACAATTTTTTTTTTTTTATTCTTTAGAAATAATCTTCTATTTCTTCCTTAAACACAGATTTTAGATTTTGCATTTTTAGTAATATAGTAAATATTTTTTGTTAAAGAAACATATTGGTAACACGTTTTGGAAATTACCATTATTTTCATATACAGTATTTCATACAATAAATTTTTATTTATCTGGAGGTATCTGGGGTCTTAACGTGAATTCTTCTAATAGCTAAATAATATTAGTGACTGTTATATTTAATGCATATACCTTTTATTATTTAGTACGTTATTAAAATTTAATAAAACACACCTAACCTATACTTGCCGTCCAAACAGGATCCTGCTTACTTATAAGATAGGTCACCTCTAAGCCTAAGGTAAAAATCATATATAAAATTCTTTGCGGATCCTACTATAAAAGGAAATTTTATGTTACATTGTTATGATTTTTTTTCTTTTTAGCCAATTAACCAATAAAATTTAAGAAAAAAATAAGGTAAAAACTATTAGTAAAAACCAATTTTCTACGGTAACCCTTATTATAAGTAAGCGGGATCCTGTTTAAACCCATAAGTTTGGGATTTGTCTAAAGGAAATACCAGGACAAATGGGATTTTCCAGTAGCTTTTAGTAAAATTCCATGGTGAAAAAACTGGAAAAACCTAGTTTGGATAGTCATATCCCAAATATGGACAAATCCCAATCTGATGGACAAATCACAAATGGACAAACCTAAAATTACTTTATATGGAATTTTTCCATGAATTCTCATTTCAAAAATAACCAAAATAAAATTTTTGAATTATAAATTCATGACTATCTTTGTTATTTTACACAACAAAAGGCATACCTTATTGGTGATTAATATAAATGAGCACATGATTTGAAGCCTTAGATGATACTTTTTGGAAAAATAGAAGTATATAGGATTCAAATAGTAGTAATAGTGAAGGTTCAAGTGAAATTAACTTACCACTTAACAAAGAAACACAATCACCAAATCTTGGAAGACGACCTAAAAAAGATGTTTGGCAATATTTTATGAAAATTAATAATGGAAAAGGAAAGCATAAGGGAGTCATATGTAATTTTTGTCATTCTTCATGGTCTTGGGAAAAGCAAATGAAATGAAGAGCCATCTTGCAATGAAATGTAAAGGATATGTGCCTAAAAATGTTCAATTAAATTTTCTCCGGAAAATTGATAATGAGTGTGAATCTTCAAAAACTTCATCTATATCAAGTAGAAAATGAAAAATATCTGATAATCAATCAACTTTAGAAATTTATTATGATATTGATAAAATTGATGAAGTAAAGAGTAATCGAGCTGATAAAGCACTTACCCGATGGTTTGTTTGTTCAGGAATACCTTTTGTAGCAGCTGATTCTCTATACTTTAAAGATTTTACTAAATCTTTAAATAGTGGATATAACCTATCTAAGCGAACTGCTTTTGCGACTACTCATTTAGATGGTGAACTTGCAAATATTACTTTAAAAATTGAAAAGAAATTGGCGAAGGCCAAAAACCTTACATTATGATGTAAGTATTCTATTAATGTTTTGAGTTTGAATTAATTTTGTTTAATATTAAGATTTTTTATTTATTAAAGGTGTTGATGGTTAGGCAAGTCCGTTAAAACATTCAATTTATGCATTTGTTATAATGACTCCTGAACGAAAACAATACATTTACTTTTTAGAAGACATGTCAAGTTTTTCATATACAGCAAATTTTAATGCTAAAAAAATGGTGAAAGTTTTAGAAAAGGTTGGTCCCAAAAAATTTTCTGCTATCATTACAGATGCAGAATCAGCAATGATAGCAACTAAACGGCAAGTTGCAGATAAGTATTCCCATATTTTGCTTATAAGATGCATTGCACATAAAGTTGCCTGCTAAAACTCAATGGGCTAATATTAAAATGCCAAAATTAAAATATGTCAAAATTATCGAAATGTCGAAACTAGTTTCAACATGTCAAAATTGCCAAAACTGTACGAAATTGCCGAAATGGTTTTGACATATTGAAATTGTCAAAACTAAATTCACTAATAAACTAACCATATTTATATAAAAAAATAAATATTATTTCGAATGTAATATGTTTATATAATTATATCTAATAAAATAATCATATTTATATAAAAAAAATTATTATTTCGAATGTAGTATATTTATATTACTAATTATAAAATGAAAAAAACATATATGAATTTATTATTATTACTAAATACTAACTAATTATTAAATATTATTATTATTAATATTATATTATATTTAACGATTATCATTATTATTATTACTATTATTACTATTTACTACTAATAATATAATTATTATTCAAATTCTTTTACTAAATCATCAACATTATAATTTAATATTCTTCTTCCCACTACTTTATTACCATTTTGATTATTTCCATCTATATTACTATTAGTTTCTTCATTTTCTTCTTCTTCTGGAAATCCAAAATTTTCCAATCCATTTAAAATCTTTAAGTTAAACAGTTCTAATGTATTTTCAATCTACGCCATTACTTTATGACTTGGAATTATGTGTCTATCGGTTGTTCTTTGTACATCTTGATCCCCTTCTGGTGCAGTTTCATCATCATCATCTTCAAACTCTGACCGTTCTGCTAAGGTTTCATTTATAATATTATTTAATTCACTATCACTAAATTTCTGCGAATTTTTTTTAATTCCTCTTCCATAAAAAGCTAGTTCGTAAGATGCATTTGATCTATAATATGTTATTAATTTTAACATAGATTCTAATCGCTCTACATCAAGTTTGAGATGTCTTTTATTTGAAAGCTAACCACAAATGGAAAATCCACGTTCATAGCTGGCACTGTTAGGACAGATCAAAAATAAATAAATCGCAAATTGCTGTAAGTATAGTAGTTCTAATTCTATACTTGACCACCACTTAATCAGATTATCTATTCTCTCTGTATATAGTTGATCAAAAGGACTTTCTTTATTTTTATATTTTAATAAGGCTGGACCAATTTAATTATCTGTTTTACATTATGTTATTTATGAGAATTTAGGGGAGGGGGGGTTCAATAAAAAATTTTTTTGAAAAAATCCCGTGACTTACATATAAGTCACGCGCAAATCAAAATTTTTATTACAAAAAATTAATTACAAAATTGAATATTTTAATTAGAATTATGGCTAGTTTTTTGTCTTTTTCCATTAACTTTCTTTTCCAACCGTTTATAAAATGTTTTTCCACTTTCATTACATGTATTACATAAAGGATATACTAATTTAAACTTTTCCTGTAATAATTGGCATGGGGTACAGTTACAAAATCCTTATCTGTGCCACACCAATAGCAAATCGGAATATTTCCTACTTTCTTTGAAGAATAATATAGAAATTCAATAGGAGAATCACAAGAAATTTGAACTCGAACAAAAATCTTTTAGGCTAAACTATGATCTTCGGGAAAAATTAGTGATCTACATGAATAAGTGTAAGTTTGTAATGCAAAATTTAAATCTTGCATTTCTTGTTCTGTTAATCGTAAACCACTATATAGGTATCGCATTTTTCCACAAAAATTACATTTTATATAATCTCTAATTTTAGCAGAAACAAGAATATTACTTGGTGCTGGCTCAGTTTTAGACACCAGACTGATTAGGGAAGGACAAAATTTTTCTGTTGTAGATTTACCATATAAATTCACAAATGATTCATAATGATCAGGATTATCTATTCAAAAATGATTATTTTTGTTAATATGATTCTATATCGTATTTATAAAAATTATCAGTAATACCTCGTGATGGTACTGGGTCAGGCAAAAAATGTAAGCTTTGGAAGATATCAATGGGCATTCTAATAGAGTAACATATGCTGCAAGTAGTTTGATTACATTTCTTAATCTAAATAAAAAATAAATAAAAAATGATTTTATAAATAATTGGCATTTAAATAAAATTCTTATTACAAGTAATCTTTATCACCTGAAAGGAATATGCCCTTTCTTGACAATGAGTTTCAATAAATTCCACTAGAGGCTTGTATTTACGCAATTGTTGTTGAGTAGTTTCATTTTTGGTTATTGTGAAATCAATTCGCAGTATATTCTTCAAAAAATCAATATTAAAAATTATTAAGATAAAATAGATACCTTTAATAACAATAAAAATATTTACCTCAAACATTTCATTAATTTCCAAGTCAGATGCAGGATTCTCAGTTTCAAATGCTTCATTTTTCATATTTAAATGTTCTGTACGCTCACAAAGTAATTCTTGAACTGTTATAATGCATTTTTCCAATTCCGTTTTTAGGTTTGAATTATCTTTTGATCTTTCACGTATATCTTCTAATGTATTTAAATTCTCAAACTCATTCTCAAGTTCTTTGGTCATTTTTTCTCTCTCTATAGTAACACCTTGTAATCCATAATTAATAATACTTATAACCTTTCTGCAGGATTACACCAACTGTAATGTGGAGCTGTTCTAACTGCAATTAACATATCAAAATCACCTGCTAAAAATAAACATATTAAAGCTACTTGAACAGATCCAAAGGTACATTTGTGATCGGGACCTCCATCAGTATAGAGTGATAAAATTGTAGGAAAGGGTCGATTTTGATATTGATGTTTCACAAGATTAAAAAATTCTGTTGAATGTCTTAAAGCACTACTTTGCTGAAATACTGTGTCTTTATAACATACATATACTTTTCTATCATAGAAAGATTCAGATATATTATTTGGTATATCAATAAATAATGTAACAGATGGCGTTAATGATAATTTGGTAAAGTTATGATCAGATGCAGAAATTTCCCCTTCAGCTAATGCCAAAGTTTTTTTATTACGAACACCCGTAGATATAGGCACATCTTCTCTAATAGGCACCTTATGTTTATTATCTGCCGAGATAAAACATGCATAATCTTGATATTTGATACTAAATTCATGTTCATACTTAATAATCAGGATTGCACTTTATATTTTACATTAAAACATCCTGTATAATGCATAGCTTTGGTAGTATATGCATTAGATGGTGCAAAATTCAATCTTATCTATTCTTCTGATGGGACTGCAACATCGTATGGCAGAGGTGGTCCTTGATATTTTGTATTTAAGCGAGTAATAATTTTATTTCGTAACTCTCGAATAGATATAGCATATGGAATATATAAAATAGTATTTGTTCGACGCTCATTAACAACTGTATTATTATGCTAGAAATATATAAATTTAATATTAATATTGATAGGACCCCGGATATCTCCAAAACAGGTCATAAGTCACACTTTCGGCAGATTGGCCCATTTTTCAGGGGCTCAAAAAATCGTTTTTTGTAAATATCTCGGCATCCAGTGGTCCAATTTTGATGAACTTTTTTTAAATTGTAGAGCTAAATGAGGGCTACAAAATAAAAAAGTTCATTAAAATTGAATTACTGGATGCTGAGATATTTACAATAAACGATTTTTTGAGTTTCAGCAAAAAGGGGTGTTTTTAACCAAAAGTCCATTATAACCTTTATATTAGATATCCGGGGTCCTATATTGATCATTAAACTGTATAATACAAAATATAATTATAATTACTTCATTAAAATATCCATCAAGCTCATCCCAGAATATATCAAATTTTAATCCTTTAAATCCATTATTCGTTCTTAGATCAACTATTATAGAAGGGTCTTCTAATGATATCATAAGACATAGTCTTTCTTCTATTTCTTTACCAATTTGATCATTTGCTAATGAAGCATCACCAGTTAAATCATGATATAACATTCTTAATACTGATTTTGAGAGATGACGAACTAGTGAATACTAAATATAAAATTTTGATCAGTTTTTAACTAAAAAGTACATCGTGCAATAATACTACTACAACTTGCCTTTTGAAATACATTTTTTTTCATTTGTCTAGTACAGTATATTGGTATTATATCATTTATACGGGTAATCATCTGTGCCTTAAGAGTTTTATAATATTCACTAGCTTCTTCAATATCAGGCGCTCTCCATATAAAGTTAAGTGTTCCAAGATAATTACCGTGAGGATATCTGAAATATAAAATTCAAATATTTCAATAAATAATTTCTTATAAAAAATAGAGTTAATAAATTAAAACCAACCTATATAATCCTGCAGGTACAGACAACTGAATATCTCGAATAAAATTGTGCTTTTTTATAGGATCGTTTGGTGCATATTGATCAAGATCAACAAAATCAAATAATTCATTATTCTTGAGATCAGAATCTAGTTCAAAATATCTCTCATCGATTTCTTCATCATTTTTGGAAATAAGATGAATATTACAGTTGGAGGATGGTTCACGTACTGGATTTCCACTTTTATGAATACGTTTCATATTATCATTAGTAGTTTTGAGATTTTCAGTATATTTTTTTAACATTGAAGTAAATTCAAAAATGTTTGATATAACTTCTTGCCAAAAAGCTTCGGATACCCATGGTTCAGTTAAAGAAATCTCTATAGAATTAGCTAATTGAAATAGTTCTAAACGTGTAAGTTGTGGTTTTTTTTTCTTCATTTGTTGATAGTATTCATTGTAAGCACCATTTTGCTGATACACTGAAAGAGAATTAAATAATGAAGGAAGATGACACCCTCTTAAACACAATTTTTCCAAATGTGGATCAATATACCAAACAGCCTTAGTTATACGTTCAACAAATCATGTTCCGTAAGTAAGATGATCATCACCAATCCATCCAACATTTTTATTTTGTAAAAGTTGAATAATATGATTATATAACAATATATTATGTGTATTTTCGCGTTTTTGTACTGGGAGTTGAAGTTTGAATTCCATCAGTCTTGTAAAAGCATTAGGAAATCGTATATGTGATGGTGATGATACAGCAATATCAGATGGAAGGATAACATATTTAAGCTTTGTAAATTCTAACATTTTCATTAATAATAGTTTACTTTCTAATCCTTCGTGCACTGTAATCCAAGGTCCTGTATCCTTATTTCTAACCTCAACACGTACATTATAGTGTAAGTAATTTCCAGGAGTTAATGAATCAAATAAAGTTGAAAATAGGTCATTTTCTTCAACTTCTTTCGCAAGGGATCCAGTTAAAATTTTAGTACCCTCATTTATTTGAACTACTATAAAAACATGTGAGTTCTTTGTTTAAAGCAATGTTGTGTTATATTTAAAACATATACTTGCATAATTGTTTGACGTGTTTGCATTTTTAATATGCAAGAAAAAAATTTAAGGTATTACATTAAAGATCAATGAATATCATATAAATCACGTGATATTTTTTTTTTTGATTGACTTTAGGAAAATCTTGGGAAGAGGGAAATGTAAAACAGATAATTAAATTGGTTTAGCCTAAATGAGAGCAAAGAATGCGAGCCTTAACTAAATCCATTCCTAATTTTTGTGCTGTTTCTCCAGCATATCTAACTATTCGCATTTAAATTCCGCATTTTAAGGATTCAGCTGATTAAATATATTTAATTTAGTAAGGTAAAATAATAATAAGTATAATAATAAATAAATCAATACTTCAAAAAAGAGGGTTTAAAAAGAATGTCAGCAAGTAATCATTATCATCAAATTCATTGAAACGTGTATTAATTTTTTCAACACAATAATTCCAAAATTCTGTATAAGATTGTTGTGGTAATTTCTTTATTGCAAGAAAAATATGAGCTAATTCTAAGTAACAATCGCTTAAATCAGCTTCTCTCCTTTCTAACGTTGACACAGCTAAGGTTGCTTGTCTAAATCTCTTCAAAATCCTACGATTAGTTTTATCAAAATTTTACTATAGATTTATTATAGTTTCGGCAGTTTCGGCATTTATAATAAGTTTTGGCAGTTTCGTCTTTCTCCAAAGTTTCACCAGTTTTTTAATATAACTTTAATATAGTTTTGGCAGAATTTCACTTTTCGGTGAAACGCCATCTTGCCTAAACCCCTAGATTTCGGCAAGCAACCTTAAATACAGCCTTATACAATGGATTTAGAACGAATCCAAGAATCTTCAACTCGTTAAAAAACTTCTATGAACAAATGATGGGTTTGATTTTATCATTTGTAAAGCTCTGAACAGTTCAGGCTAAACCGGGGAACCGATCCAAAACTGGCTCAAAATTCGGTTCGGTTCGGTTCGGGTATTAGAACTGAAAAACCGGCGGTTCGGTTCAGTTTAATCCAATTTTTTATAAAAATGCAAAAAATCGAAAGCTGGCCATCTAGTGATCGTACAAAGTCAAGCCATATATCATTGGATTTATCTCGACGAAACGCGTCGAATGGTGGTAAGATCATGTCTCTAGCATCGATAGATCACACGTTAACCCACGCTAAATGATTTATAAATAATTGGAATTAGCAAGCTATCTATCGGTGCTAGAGACATGATCTTAGCAC